AGCATTCTATCTCCCATTTGGGGTGATTCTTTTCTTCTGTTCTTCCTTTCCTTTCCTTTCCTTTCCTTTCCTTTCCTTTCCTTTCCTTTCCTTTCCTTTCCTTTCTTTTTTTCCTTTACAGAGATAACCTAAATTAGGTATCTTGCTTTTGCATAAATCTCTCGTTCCATATAAGGCGTGAAAGCTGAGATGGTGGGAGGCGAATCGCTCTTTGCGGTTTGGATGTTCCTGTCCTTGTTTTGGAAGCTGCCAGAGAGAACCAGGCATTTTGCAGGATTAGATCTCTATGGGATGGAGTTTGAAGCTGCCCCCCAAATCTATGCAGGGTAGGGTCTTCACGAATATTATGTTTCCTTTTTAGCATCTCCTTTGATTTAGTTCTTTTTTTTTTTTCATAGTGCAGTACTGTAAGAGCTCCAGTTAGGAACATGCGTTGGTTCCAAGGAGGAGAATTTGACAGTTATACAATTATCTCTTTCTGCAATGCAGACAGCCTGTTTATGCAACGGACTGATCCAGGAACAGCAATTCCTAAAAAGTTCCCTTGACTCTGATGTGTCTTTCTGGGCAAAACCCAGAAATAGGCTGAAAAAATTCCACAAGCAAGATAGGTAAAAGAGATGCAAATTTGCCAATTCCAAACTGCAGATCCAGTTGGATGACAGGCACGGGGACTTCACGGCCTAGGAAACCCTGCAAGATTCCTTTGGAATGGAATCCTTGGCTTTCCACAGGAACTCTTGGATGTATTGTCAAATGTTCTGTCAAGCCATGGGTCGTTTAAGCCTAGCCAACCTGGGCTGATCCCAAACAAGCCAAACAGGGTCAGATTTGATTAGTGCTTGAACGGGAGACCACAAGAAAGCTCAGGGCTGTTGCAGAGGAAGGCAAGGCATCGCTACTGTAGCATTGCCAAGAAAATCATATAGACATATCCATGAAGTCATCAGGAACTGCACTTGATTTGTAAGCTGCGTAACCTTCTTCAACATCAGCAGATGGCAGCATTTGGCTGACATACAAGCTAAACAGGCTCAGGCCTGCTTAAGACTTGGATGGGAGACCACCAGGAGATGTCAGAGCTATAGGCTAGACCAGTGCTACTCAACCTTGGCAACTTGAAGCATGCTGGCTGGGGAATTCTGGGAGATGAAGTCCATATACCTTAAAGTTGCCAAGGTTGGGAGACACTAGGCTAGACTGAGAAGTTAAAAAAAATGGCGGACGTAGTTAGCAGCAAACTACATCCATACAGCTGCCAAGCAAACTACCTGGACTTGTTCATGATGTTAGCAGGAGTTAAGGTTGCCTTGACCCTTTGATCGTCTCTTGGACAATCCACAAGGCATACAACTCAATACGGTAAACCCAAAGCTAGATAAACTGCACTGTGGTTTAGTACAGTGTCTGAACCCAGCCATCGGTGGAGAATGACTGGATCCTTTGTGGCAAAGGTGCAGGGTTACTTTGTCCACATGATAGCTTGGATTTTGTGATGGAATG